ACACACCACTGGCCCAACTAACCAAAAAAAAGGGGGGGGGGCAAAGACCCAAATCAATAAAATTAGAAATGAAAAAGGAAATGTAACAGCAGACACCACAGAGATAGAAAGAATCATCATAAATTACAACAAAGAGCTATATACCAACACATCAGGAAACCTAGAAGAAGTTGATAGATTGCTGGATGACACATAGACCTTACCTCAATTGAGCCATTAAAATATAGAAACCTTAAACAGACCAATAACCAAACCAAGATAGAAATTGAATAAGTAATAAAGACCCTCCCAGCAAAAAAAAAAAAAAACAAAAAAAAAAAAAAAAAAAAAAAAACAGGACCTGATGGTTTCACTGCTGAATTCTACCAGACATTTAAAGAAGAACCAATTCTTTTCAAACTGTTCAAAACAACTGAAAGGGAGGGTATCTTCCCAAACTCCTTCTATGAAGTCAGCATCACTTTAATTCTTAAACCTGAAAAACATACAACAGAGAAAGAGAAACTAAACACCAATATCCCTGATTAACATAAATGTAAAAATCCTCAATAAAATATTAGCTAACTGAATCCAACAACACATCAGAAAGATCATTCACCCAGACCAAGTGGGATTTATGCTTGGTATTCAAGGGTGGTTCAACATTCCTAAATCAATCAATGTGACACATCATATTAACAAACTGAAGAACAAAAATCATATGGTTATCTCAATAAAAGCAGAAAAAGCACTTGATTAACTACAACACCCTTTCATGATGAAAACCTTAAGCACATTGGGTATAGGCAGAACATTCCTCAACATAAACAAGGCAATTTATGACAAGTCCAAGGCCAGCCTCCTATTGAATGGGGAAAAGTTGGAAGAATTCCCACCGAAATCCAGAACCAGGCAAGGATACCCACTTTCATCATTGCTATTAATATAGTCCTGGACATTTTAACCAGAGCCATTAGACAAGAAAAAGAAATCAAAGGAATACAAATTAGAAAGGAGGAAGTCAAATTATCCCTATTTGAAGATGACATGATTCTATATATAAGGGATCCAAAATACTCTGAGAGACTCATTGAAACTCATAAAAGAGTTTGGTAAAGTGGCAGGATATAAATTCAACACAGGAAAATCAATAGCTTTTGTATACACATGGCTGAGAAAGAACTTTTAAGATCAGTCCCATTCACATAGCTTCAAAAACAATTAAATACCTTGAAATAAATTTAACCAAGGATCTCAAAGATCTCTATGCTGAGAATTACAAAACACTTTAAAAAGAAACATAAGAAGGCACCAAAAAATGGAAAAATATTCCATGTTCATGGATTGGAAGAATCAACACCATCAAGATGTTCATACTACCAAAAGCAGTTTAAAGATTCAACGTGATACCAATAAAAACACCAATGACATTCTTCATAGATATAGATTAAATGATGCTAAAATTCATATGGAAACACAAGAGACTCGGAAAAGCTAAAGTAATCTTATACAAAAAAATAAGAATGGAAATAGGAAAGAGAGGAGGAAACAGGGTGGGAGTGTGGGTGTGAGGGCGGATAGGGTGGAAAGAAACACTATGCTCCTGAAGTTGTATTTACGAAATGCATGAAGTTTGTATATCTTAAAAATGGTTTCTGGGTAAAAAAAATAAAGTTGATCTCATAGAAGTTGAGAGTAGAATGGTGATTACCAAAGGCTTGGTTTAGTAGAGGAAAGGACAAAGTGGAGAATGCTTGATTAATGGGTACTAAGTTACAGTTAGAAGGAAGCTCTGGTGTTCTTTTGCACAATAGGGTGACTATAGATAACAGTAGTATACTGTTTACTTTTATTTTCAACATGCTAGGAGAAAGGATTTTGGATGTTTTCATCATAAATACATGATAAATTTGAGGAGATATATGTTTACTCTGACTTTGATGTGGCAATGAATATATTAATTTTTGATACAGATTCTTACTTCATGCAGAGACAGATATTACTTACAAATAGGAACAGAGTTTATCTGGCAGTGAGGTGTATCAACATCCATTCATACACAAGTGTGGGCCGCCACACACTGAGAAACACTCAACATGAGTGTGCCAAAGAATTACCCATACACTAGAGAGAAAAGAAAAACCAAAAATGATACCTGTGATTGGGAAGTTCTGTCCAAGCTCAGCAGCAGAAGAGCACAGGTCAGAGCAGTACGAATGCAGTCCACTGTGGAAAGAGAGAAAACGGGAGCTCTGAGTGAGGTCCATGGCGGGAAAAGCGAAAACACAGCAGTACTTTTTTTTTTTTTTTTTTTTGGACAGGCAGAGTGGACAGTGAGAGAGACAGAGAGAAAGGTCTTCCTTTGCCGTTGGTTCACCCTCCAATGGCGGCTGCAGCTGGCGCGCTGCAGCTGGCGTACCGGGCTGATACGAAGCCGGGAGCCAGGTACTTCTCCTGGTCTCCCATGGGGTGCAGAGCCCAAGTACTTGGGCCATCCTCCACTGCACTCCTGGCCACAGCAGAGAGCTGGCCTGGAAGAGGGGCAACCGGGACAGAATCCGGCGCCCTGACAGGGACTAGAACCCGGTGTACCGGTGCCGCTAGGTGGAGGATTAGCCTAGTGAGCCGCGGCGCCGGCCCAGAGCAGTACTTCTAAGCAGAGTCCAGGGTGGAAAAAGAGCTCTTTCTGCTTTCTGCCCCCCCTTTTTATTTTATTATTTTTTTTATTTTTTTGACAGGCAGAGTGGACAGTGAGAGAGAGAGACAGAGAGAAGGGTCCTCCTTTTCCGTTGGTTCTCCCTCCAGTGGCTGTTGCGGCCAGTGCACCATGCTGATCTGAAGCCAGGAGCCAGGTGCTTCTCCTGGTCTCCCACACGGGTGCAGGGCCCAAGGACTTGGGCCATCCTCCACTGCACTCCCGGGCCACAGCAGAGAGCTGGCCTGGAAGAGCAACCTGGACAGAATCCGGCGCCCGACCAGGACTAGAACCCGGGTGCCAGTGCCACAGGCTGAGGATTAGCCTAGTGAGCCATGGCGCCGGCCATTTCCGCTTCTTTTTGTAAGAAGGAAGGTGGTACCCCAGCTGGATATGCAAAGGGAAGGGAATAGGGTCTTCACATGCACCCTGTTGCTGGATGCAACAGGTGCATCCTGAGAAAATGGGCGTATCAAATCGACAGTTAAAGAGACAGCAACATATGTATCAACTGAATTGCATCTATTCCCTTCACTCTGTTAGCTCTGAACAATTCAGAACACATTCAAGATGAAAAGCAACAAGGGCATCAGTTAGGAAGAAAAACTCCCTTCAGTTCATTCATTTCATTAACATAAGACTTAAATTGTTGCACAGACTGTTGTGAAAAATAGCCCAACCTAAGGATGGACTCAATCTCAGGAAGTGCAGCGAAAGCAAGACTATTAACCGACTTGGAAGACCAAATGTATGAGAGGTGAACAGGTATACATACCCAGTGAGGTTTCCTCCTGCAGTTATTCCCAAATGTGCAGGTCCCTCCCCCAGTTGCTCACAGGCTGAGTAGAAAAGGTTACAATCTTCCTGGAATTTGCTTCAGCTGTTTTGGCCGCACCTAACATCCTGTTTGCCTGAGAACTTTCCAGGTGCATGTAACCTAGCTGTTATGCTAGCCAGCTACAGGTGACTCTTCCCACACTTGCAAGCTGTTATGCTAGTTAGTTGTCTACTCACAGCTTAACACTTTACTTTGAAAATGACCCAAATGTCTACTTCTCATAGCCATAACCAAGGTTTTCTACTTCTAGGAATTTATTCTCAACAAAAACATAAAAGAAACCAGTTAAAGTTATATGAAAAAGAGATGTTTTTATAACACTTTTTTTAATGGTGGAAAAGTGAAAGCAAATACTCGATAACAAGTGCATATGTAAATGAGTGAGGTACTATAGACATAAGGAAATATTGTGAGGTCAATAAAAATTTACATAAAAGAATATTTGGGGGCTGACACTGTGGCATAGTAGGCTAAGCATCCACCTGTGGTGTCAGCATCCCATAAGGATGCCAGTTTATGTTCTAGCGCTCCTCTTCTGATCCAGCTCTCTGCTTGTGTCCTGGGAAAGCAGTGGATGTTGGACCAAATGCTTGGGCCCCTGCACCCATGTGGGAGACCCAGAAAAAGCTCCTGGATCCTGGCTTCGGATTGGCCCAGCTCCAGCCATTGTGGCCATTTGGAGAGTGAACCAGTGGATAGAAGATCTTTATTTCTGTCTCTTCTGCTCTCTGTCTGTAACTCTGCCTATCAAATAAATAAATAAATAAATAAAATCTTTTGAAAACCCACAGTGTCATCCATATACTTTAAATCATGTCTAGATTTCTTAATAGTTAATGCGATGAAGATGTGATATAATAGTTATCATATTGTATTGTTCAAGGAATATTGGCAAAAGTCTGCCTATTCAGTAAAGATGCAGTTTCTCTGAAGTATTTTGCAGCCACATATGGCTGAATCCACAGATGTAGAGGGACCATTGCATATAAAGGAGCAGATAAATATTTCTTTTTCTCTTACCATCTCAAGATTGTAACATTTCCTTTAATTGGTGGAGGATGATTATGAGTGAAATAACCCAAAATCAGATTTTCTAAAATTAATTCAGAAATTCTTTATTGTGAATATTCAGTTGGTCACCAACTTGCTAAACAGAAACAGGAGTTCCCTTGATAGCTCCTGATTCAGCTTTCTAAATAAGCTTTAGCCCCGTTGTCCTGTAGATTTTTTTTTGAGGTTTACATTTAGTGTTTTACATTTGCCCCCTGCAACACTATTCCCTGTAACTCATTTACTGCACTAGTCTCCACTCACCTTCAAGTCTAAGCTCAAAGCCCCTCGAACCACACAAACCACAGCACACATCAACATAGAGACAGTCAATGATAATAACTGAATACTTGCCATGTGGCAGGTAACACACCAAAGGCTTTTTATTGTAATCTCACTTAATTATCACAAAACCTTATGGGATAAGTACTACTAATGTGCTTACTTTTCTGATGAGGCAACCAGATCGAGAGATTAAGTGACATGCTAAAAACAGTCCTAAGCTGGTGATTGACAAAACTGACATTTCAACTCAGAGTTACCTGATTTCAAAGCAGCTGAACTACTGCAACAAATGAAGGGAAAGAAAGGTAGTGACTGCGCTTGGACAGAATTGTGAGGGAGGCAAAAGTCAGTTTCGTGCTCTCAAGTCCTGGTCAACAGAAGCCTGTTTGGAAAGTAGTGTTCGATGAGAAGAAGAAAGTCAGTTAAGGCCTCTCCTTATTAAGGTAAATGGGGATGTTCTGAACATTATGATGTTCTTTGGGAACACTGGTTGTCCAGGATCTCACCACCAGCAGGATATTTAGTATGATCTAATTGCATTCCTGTAATTTAGATTACAAAAATTGAGGTCTGGAGAGATGTTATAATTTCATAGCAATAACAGAATGTGACCTAGAATCTGAACCTCTTGATTCTCTCAATTCTAAAGCATTCTGATTATACAGAGTCCTCTGTCTCATAATGTAAGTGAATCTGGTGAAGCAAAATGAGTTTTTAAAATGTTTATTTATTTGACAGGCAGAGGTACAGAGGAAGAGACTTAGAAAGAGAGAGAAAGAATGCCCATATTCTGGTTCACTCTCAAAATGCCCACATTGGCTGGGGCTGGGCTAAGCCAAAGACAGGAGACAAGAATGTAATCCAGATCTCCTGCATGAGTGACAGGAACCCAATTACTTAGCCATCACCACTGCCTCCCAGGAACTGCATTAGCAGGAAGCTGGAGTCTGGAGCTGGAGCTGGGTAGCAGATTAGGTTCTCTGACATAGGACATGAATGTCTTAACTGATGTTTTAACTCCCAGCCTAATGCCTACCTCAGGAAAATGATTTTGATGAGCCAACTTGGTGGTCGAGCAGATAAAGCTACCACCTGTGATGCTGGCATCCCACATGGATGCTAGTTCAAGTCCCAGCTACTCTACTTCCCTTCCAGCTCCCTGCTAGTAGGTGGGAAAGGCAGCAGAGGATGCCCCCAGTGTTTGGACCCCTGCCACCCGTGTGGTTGAAGCTCCTGGCTCTTGACTTTGGCCTGGCCCAGCACTGACTGTTGTGGCCATCTGGAGAGTGAACCAGTAGTTGGAATATCTCTTTTCTGCCTCTTCCTCTCTCTCTGTAACTCTTTCAAAATAAATCTTTGAAAAAAAAAACAACAACAACAGCAACAACAACAAAAAAAAACAAGAAAGAAAAATTTTGAATGGACTTTGGAGGACATTGCTTTTTATCAACAGAATCACTTGAGATTCACTCTTTCCTTAAGTTTTAAAAAAATCCCCACATAAGGCCAGTGCCGCGGCTCACTGGGCTAATCCTCCGCCTTGTGGCGCCGGAACACCGGGTTCTAGTCCTGGTTGGGGCGCCGGATTCTGTCCCAGTTGCCCCTCTTCCAGGCCAGCTCTCTGCTGTGGCCCAGGAGTGCAGTGGAGGATGGCCCAAGTGCTTGGGCCCTGCACCCCATGGGAGACCAGGAAAAGCACCTGGCTTCTGCCATCGGATCAGCGCGGTGCGCTGGCTGCAGCGCGCCGGCCGCGGCGGCCATTGGAGGGTGAACCAACGGCAAAGGAAGACTTTTCTCTCTCTCTCTCTCTCTCTCTCTCTCTCTCACTGTCCACTCTGCCTGTCAAAAAAAAAAAAAAAAAAAAGACAGAGGTTATGATTGAAATGATTTCATGTTGCAATATGTATTCTTTGTCTTTATTTGGCTTTTTGTTTTAACTTTTAAAATAGAAAAATATGGTGAACACAAAAACTCACCAAAGGAAACAGCAGTATAAAACACAGTTCCTTCGTGTGGAGCAGGTAGTTTATAAAAAGAAAAGTTGATGCATTTCACTTCGTATCTACTATGATTTCCTCTCAAGTATTCTTGTCTTGGAAAATTTTATTCTGAATATTTCCACCATGCCTTCAGGACTCCTCTTCAACTCAGAATCCAGGCCAGATATTTACGCCAGTTTGCCTTCAGAATCAATTTTCCTTCCCCATTGGTTTTGATCTTAAGCTTGATCTTGAGCCTTTGAGTTTGGCTACTTAAAATAATTAGGATGCAGACATAAAAACATTTCTCATTAAGATAGAAATGATGAGAACAGAATGTCTATTTAATTTTATTCTGATACAGTGAACTGGAATTCCCAGAAGGTTGAATAAGAATAGATAGTGAGGGCAGATGCTATCATATCTGTGGACTTATGAAGTAATTCTGTGGATGTCATTTGACTAAGTATATGTTTTTGCAAAACTAAATTCTGTCAGCACCACACCCAGGGCATTTACTATAGTGTACATTTCGAATGAGCACACATGGATTTTCTATATTGATGTGTTTTCTTTAAGTTTGTTGAAGGCTTAGGGTATGTTCAAAGAAATGCAGAAAAAATATCTAAATTCTGGGTGAAAATGACAATGATAGATACCTGTAATTAATATACCTAGTAATTTTATATGACAGTTCTTTAAGAAAAACACAGCGAATAATTAAGGCATGTTCACATTTATAAGTCTCTTGCATTTAAGAATGCTCATAAGTTTTACAATTTATGTTTTGGTATGCAATACTAAGTGGACTTTTGTACATTTTAATGTTCACTAGTTACACAGAAGCATCCTTATGATACACTTTTGGCACATGATACAAAGAAAGTGAAAAATATGTATGCATCCAGAAATCCTCTTCTCAATTTTCTGGTGGTAGAAAACATTGAAGGAAAAATGGGGGTTTCCATATTTCCTGGGAGAAGCCCTCTTCTGTAATTTTCAGTGATTATAGTCCTATGTGTGGCTTGGATTCATATGTTATCTAGTATCTGCTGAACGTTTGCCATGTGCCAGGCACTGGGTTAGGTTCAGGATATACCATGGTGAATAAGGTCCACGTTACCTTTACTCCCTGGAGCTTTCAGTTCCCTCAGCGAGACAGCCAAGGTCAAGAAATAATCCCAAATGGTGAAAGTTCTATAAAAGAAACCAACAGGGGACTTCAGTAGGCAATATCTGGAGTTCAGAGGATAGGCAAGGACAGCTGAATGGAATGAATGATAAAGCAGGGAGAGGGGAAGATGGTGCTCTTGTCTGCTATCATTTATTGAGCTATAGGCCTGGGCTAAATCTTTTTTACGTAAGAACTCTAGAATCTGATGCTAACACTACAGATGAGAGAACCAAGGGCTTACTTACCAAGGGTGCAAAATTGGAAGGGATGGGGAGGTGGGGGCATGATCCTGGGTATGACTCCAGAGTTCATAAGCACTAATTCCACTGCTAGGAAAAATTACCATAAAAGTGAATCAGAAATTCAAACACCAATTTATGTAACAAGGCGATTTTCTCACCCTACCTTTCTCCCCCCACCAAAGATTTATTTATTTATTTGACAGATAGAGTAACGGGAGGGTGGGGGAGGGGAGGAGAGAGGGGGGAAAGAGATCTTCCACTTGCTAGTTCACTCCTCAAATGGCCACAGCAGCCAGGGTTGGTCCGGGCTGAAGCCAGGAACCAGGAGCTCTATCCAGTCTCCCACATGGGTGACTGGGGCCCATGCTGCTTTCCCAGTGCATTAGCAGGGAGCTGGATCAGATGTAGAGCCGCTGAGACTTGAATGGGCAGTGCAAAAATAGATGTCAATGTCGCGAACAGCTTACATTGCAGCACTGCAACACTGGCCCCTCAAACCACTGTTTTTAAAAATTTCACAGTCTTTCATTTGGGGACTGAGGAGGGATTTCAGGTGGAGCTTATATTTCATTTAGTAACACTCTTTTATCTCACATTTTGAGTGAGTTATATGAAAAAGCCTATAAAACAGGTAACCATTCAAATTCTAGAGTGTCAGATTTGAACAAGTCGTACCTTGAAAAACACAAAGAAATAGAAAAAGATGGGAACACATAATGTGAAAAACAATCACAGAGGAGATGAGTTTCTAGTAATGGAAGAAAGTTTTTGAGTTGTGTGTTAGCTTAAAAGATAACATTTCCCTCTCACTACCTTAAACTAGTGAGACTTATTGGGTGATCCCAAACACAATGAATGCATTTCTCAGACATTTTTCAGGAAGTTTTAACAAAGAATATTCACAAATAATGAGCAAATCTCCAACATTTCCTTAGTTCCATGAATATTCCATATAATATTCAATAGAAACAGAAAATCTGGGTCATTAGGAAAAATATTTGGTGAAATCCATGTAGCTGGTTTGAGATTATCATTCTTTTAATAACCAATTATAAAGAAGTTAGAATAAGAACTCTTGGCCAACTAGAATATTTGTCTCATTCTATGGATTGGTTTCAACTCATTTAGATTATGGTCCTGTAGAAGCTATGGGATGAAAGAACAAGTCAGACAAAATAATCAAAATTTGGAACGAAGGCAAACATGTGCGCACACGCGTGTGCACACACACACACACATACAAGATAGGTAGCGTGCCTTCCAGTATAAAATATCAATAAAGGCCATCCAAGGATTGTCTAAGGTATGTATGAGAGGTCCTCAAAAGGTTCATGGAAAATGCACATTATGAAAAAAACCATCCATGGCTCCCAAAAGTTTTTGAACCAGAATAAACTTATCTTCTAATTCCTTTTTAAAGGAACTTTTCAAAGTGCCTTCAATCTGAGCCCTCCTCGGAGATGCAGTGATCAAAGGCCTAGCTTAGTAGGTCACTTGTTAACTCGGCAACTTGTTGGGTAGAGAGGGTGGTCATTCCTACTGGGACAGAGAACCCCAGAGGTTTGTGCCCTCTTTATCACAATGAATGTACATGCACATCTAGTCCAGTCATCTCAGCCTAACTTCCCTTAATTTTCCTATAAATATCCCAGCTTCTTAACTGCTCCTTGAATGTATCATAACATCTTACTAGTTTTCTCATCATTAAATAAAATCTTACACAGGTTTTAATTTCATATTTACTTGAGAGTCATGATTTTACTTTTTGGCAATTATACTTAACAAGGATAAACAGACTATTCTCATTACCCAGTTTTACATTTTATCGATGATCAGTGAAATAGGAGTGTTTTTATAAGCTCTTTGTAATTTGCTACAAATACTTTTTCCTGGTATTTGATTTATAAGTTGCTTATACACTAATGCCTGTTAGGCTTTCACAGAGGAAGTTTTATTCTTTCAGACTGGTGTTTTTACACACAAAATCCATGAAAGTCTTAATTAAGTGAAATACTCAAATGTGGTGAGCCCAATTCACATTGCCAGTC